GTTAGTGTCTAATAAAGCTCGCTGCATTTCTACAATAGCTTCCATCTCCTGTATTCTATGTCTCATCTCTTCTATCTCAACCTCGTGCACATTCTTACATCTTGGAGGCATTTTGTTCAGTATCATAGCTATAATAAGGAGTTTTTGGAAAAAATCAGGGTAAAATGGGAATTTTGATGAATTTAGGGGCAAATGGGAATATTGGAAAGGCCTAGGAGAAAATGGAAATTTTAGAAGGTTATAGGGGCATAATGAGATTTTTTGAAAGTATACGGGCAAAATGAAAATTTCAAAAAGTATAGGGGCAAAATAGGAATTTCAAAAATCATAGCAGTAAAATGGGAATTTCAAAAAGGATATGGGTTAAATTGTAATTTTGGAAAATTATGGGTTCAAAATGAAATTCATGAAAAGTTATGAGGTTAAAGTGTAATTTTTAGAAAGATTTAGGGCTAAAATGGAATTACAGAAAGTTATGTGTTGATGGGGGAGGATGACATGGCGAATGGGACACATGGTAGATTCTAGATGGGCTAACCTATCTTTGACTAGTCATAATAGGTGACATGGCGGATGACATCAGCATCTTCAACCTCCAACAGGTGCATATAGCTAGTAGATCAGCAACAAAGGCACATAGACTTCTAGTAGTGGCGCATGATGACACGTGAAGGTGTTTTTGGCTATAGGTTGACTCTTGTTCCACTATTTTTGACCTTCTAAGGATGATGGTATGGTTAGAATTTTTAGAAAATGATTGGAAATACAACTTCTGAGGGCGATAGTAAACTCCTTTACCAGCATCATCTTAGGTTTGCTTCTAAGGTATTTTTTTAGTATTCCCTATCTTTGAAACCTTGTTCTAATACCAAAATGGTACAGAAACCAAATGGAAAGAAATATTTTGCTTGTTATTCAATTTGACATCTACCTTAAATGAGAAACAAGGGTCCTATTCATACTATTATGGAGGAGACAGAGCTTTAACTCAGAATGGAAGAGTTACAACTGTTTAATAGAGGAGTTATGGAGGTTATCAGTTATGACTGAAGTTATATAGATGAAATTATAGATGGGAGGAGTTACAGGAGTGTTAGTGCTCAATATTCGTTTCACATATGACCTGTGAAGGATTATGATATCTTCTCAAATGTTTATGACTTTTTTTCTATAATTGTATAGATTAAGTCATAAGTATTAGTTATAATTAGATTGTTATATACACTAAATTTATAGAAAATTACTAGTCGACAGCATTAGCTATCACAGCACAGTGTAAGCCTCTTGTGGACTTAAGGCAAGTAATGTCCTCAATAAGTGTTAAAAACTTTTTAGGTTTTAAGTCTTTTTTAGAAGCTTTAGCTTTAACCAAAGACAAAATCTTTGAACCATGAGTTAAGTCAACTAGAAAGAATCTAGCATTCACAAGCTTATTTGAGAACTCCACAAATTTCTTCACAATAATATCAATTGCCTTCTCATGGTCAAATTGGAAATTAGATGCTGAAATAGATGGAAATGCTAAAGTGGGAGCATCACCCATGAAAGTAGGATCAACTTGAGAAATAGTGGAACTAACTAAGATTTTCTACATTCATTGAGTCTAAGATGGCTTTATCTGAATTTGGTGGAAAATTTTCCACATCTTTATGGCAGGGATCTATCATCCCATTACTTTTAGAAGTAAGATTTCCACCACAATTCTAGACTTAGTAAGCAACTGGGACCTCAAGATTTTTGAAAAACTTCATTATATCTAGTTGAACCTGGGCATCTTTACTTCTCTCTTTTCTTTATTCTTTTTATTTTGGTTATGTTTTCTATTGAAATGTTTTGTATTGACTCTACGAGTTGTTGTTAAACTCCCAGTCAAGGTTGGGAGTGGTACTAGGATGCATTTTATTCTTTTTATTTAGTTATTTATTTTTATCATTAAACTTAACATCTTGTCAATGAGATTTTAATGTTTCTATTTATATTTATCTTTCTCATGTTAATTATTTTTTATATAGACAGCCATTATCTATAATGGTCTGTGGGTAGTTTGATAAGCTAAAAGGTGATAAACCTATCTAAACCTAGAGAAATAGATGCAGATAATTAGATTAGGAATAATTTAGGAATCTATAGTTGTTTAAATTGTAGTTTCATAGTTTAGTTAGAGAGTAGAATTTAGTAAGCACTAAATTTAACTGTGGCTAAATGCATCCTGATCTACTGAAAGGTATTTAAGATACCTTAGAAACAATTATCACTATAAAAAAAGGGGAAGATAATTAATTGAATTACAATAATCCATCTTGGGAGGTGAATCTTAATCTCTTGTGCTCATTTAATTGGTTGTTTCATTGTTTTCATCGCTTTTATTATTTTTTTCGTACTCGCATTTTTTAAATTAGTTATCCTTTTAAAACTACTTCTTTCACTTTCTTGAAATAACAAAGTTGCTTTCCTCTGTGTTTGACTCCTAAAATATATCCAAATTTATTACTACATTGATCTCATACACTTGCGAGGCTAATCAAGGAACCTAAAAAAATAGCAAAAGTGGGGGAGATGAGAACGAAAGAGGACTACATAGGGACACTGTCCACTCCTTCAAGTATTGAGATGCCGATCACTCCTTTGATGCCTTAGATCACTTGGAATTCTTGCCTTTCGCTTTTAGAGAAGTCCTTGACACCATCGATATGCCCTCTCTGCTCTTTGCTCTTTGTGCAAATTCAAAGAGGATGAGGAAGGAGAGGAAGGAGGTGAGGATGGACAAGAATAATCAGGAAAGAAAGAGGTGATGAAGAATGACGGAGTAAGGAGAGTAAGAGGAAGTCAACGTCGAAATAGCAATAGCAGCAAAGAGGGGAGAGAAGAGGATTTGGTTTGGGCATTTGGGTCATTTGAAGCTCCGAAGTAATGCCAGCGAGGGAACTCAATTTGGAATCTCTCCCAAGTCATTCTCAACAAATTTAAATTTGGTCAAGTCTTTTTTGGCAATTTTTTCTGTTTTAAAATTAATTGATTTAGTTTCTTAAAAGTAAAGATTTTAACTTATATTGATTCAATAATTTAAGAGTAAATATCTTTTAAAATTATATTGATTTAATTGAATTCAATACTTCTTTTATTTTTGGGTATGGATAGGAATTGAAAACTATACAACCTTATATTTTAAAGAATGATCTTGTAACTTGGAGTATCCCAAGTTAATTTTAAGAAATTATTGACAAATTTTATGCTAAGGTTGTGATCGGCAATTACACTTACCTTGATCCTTCATCCTAATTTTATTTTTTATGGTCCTTTATAATAAAATTTAACAGTATTAAATCTCTCTCCTTAATTTTCCCTAAAATATAGATACCAATAAACTCCATTATTGTCAAACTTTTTTTTTTAGCTGACCTGAATGTAGCAAACGCTTCCTTTACATTATATACATATTTCTTCATAATATGGCATTTAAATTCCCTGTTGCTTCTTCCAAGGAATTTAACATTGCTTTGGACAAAAAAAAAATACAAAGACCATAAACAATAAAAAAAATAAAAAGCAAAGAGAAACCTATAACATTGAAAACAAAAGTCATTTTCTATGTCCCAGGGTTTCTTTGTGGAAGTTTTTCTCTCTCTGCTAGTGGAAATTCTTTTCTGTTGTGACCTTTCTCTCGTGCATATTTTTGGTAGCTTTTTCTGTGAGGGGGGTGTCCAGCATTAGGGGGTGTGGTTGGTTTTTATTCTTTAATTTTGTTTTTTTGCTGGTGTGTGTTGTTTCTTACTCATAAGTTGCTGAAAAGGAAATGGGGGTTCAATTGGCATTGGCGGGATAAAGGTTGTCTATATGAAGGAATCACAATTTGGGCAATAATGGTTAATCATGTCTTTTGTAGTGTCTTTTTGCGACTTTTTCATACAAGCTAAAAGATATGTGAGATTTTTTAAATATGGATTTTGATGATTTGGGTTTGTCAGTGAGAGTCTCAACTTGGGTTTCTTAATTCAATAGATGGTGGTTTGCAGTTGTTGTTGTTGGTTTTAGTTCTCTCTATATGAAATTTGATGTGTGAAGGTGGTAAATCTACTATCTGTGAAGCAATTATTGTTTACGTAAGGATGAAACCGTTCGGATGGTTCCATGAACTCCCATCCCGATCTACCGATGCTACTTATTGTCTCTTGGAGTTTTCATGAAAGCGGTACCATTACTTGCTTTCTATTTTTGTTTTAAGGCTTGGAATGATCCTCGTAGGTGTCTTTTTTTCCTTTGTATTGTTTTGCATTGGTTTTAGGGTTTTCTTTTTCTCATTGTGCTGTTTCTCTCATTTATGTTTTGTTCGTTATACTTAATTTGTCTTTATAAACCCTTTAGTTATCAATAATATGTCATGTTTTTGGGAAAAACAAAAATCCATAATTCATGCCAAGCATGAGCTCTGTATAATTAGAAAGAAATATAGACACACACACACACATTATGGCTTCCTTGCCTTTTTTTATTGTTCAATAATTCAGAAAACTGCCCTGGACTTTTGAACTCCAGAACGGAACTCATCACTATAGTTTTTTTTCTTTTTTAAATTTGGTATTGATTTAAATGAAAAATCCAAACCATTGTAATGCTTAAAAATGACACGCGTCATTGAATCGCCTCCTCCCACACATAAAACTACCTCTACTTGTCAAAACCAAAAGTAACAACGGTGATAAACTTTATTCCACAATTATTCCTTTAATATAATTTTCCTTTTTAAATAATTCTCAGCCTTTCAATCTTCAACCACTAAGATACACAAGAAACAATAATCTTCGGACTTGGATCTTTCTAAAGAAGAGGTTGCTCCGTGATCTGCGGAATCTAAAATTATGATTCCCAGCGTCTCTTCTTTCCTCGAGTTTACTAAAAATTAATCTAATCATTACAATTTACGATCTTCACATCCCCAAAATCAACTGGTATATATATGATTCCTATAATCTTCTTGATCTTTCTTTCATGATTTTCTTTCGATTTCTCGGAAAATGAGTTCAAGGCATCGACCATTATTCGCCTGCATTACATCAATCTTAGCAATGGCTGACATTGCCTCAAGAAAAGCTCAAGATCTCAATGGACCATTAGGTTCAACATTCAGAGCAACAGCAAAATTGGCTAAATTTGCGAGTCCTCTCATTATCATCATGAAATATCAATGCCTAATCATCATCTTCATCCTCGATTACCAGTTTCTGGCGGCCAAAAAGACGATCGAGATATTTTGGCCTTCCGCATCACGCGTGTTCGACAAGATCGAAGAAATTGTAGTCATGATAGAGTCCTTGCCTGAGAAATTCGATGACACGGTGGGCAAATTCCCGGCAATGATCTGCCAGTTCACATTCTCAATGAGACAATGGTCATTGCTTCATTTGATTTCATGGTTGAATTGGTTGGTGTCCACGTTGAATCAGATGGAACAGGAAAATTCGAGGATGAAAGAGATAGCAATTGATAATCGAAATATTCAGCTTGTATCATCAGAATCAGAATCTTTATATACAATTGAAAGTTTCTGCTCTGCAGCACAGTGTTTTCCAGCTGAGAGCTATAAGGATGTGGAAAAGATATTGGAACGGATTCACGATGATGAAAGTGAAAGAGAAAGAGAAAGAGAAGAGAATAAAAATATACATAGGAGTGGAAGTATTGTGAAATTTAAAGATACTGGAAAGCAAGTAATCAGGCAAGAAGAAGAACATCCGATTCTTCAATTGTTTGAGTCTAAATGGCTATCACATTAGGGTTTAATTTATAATGCCCTCGTATCGTTTATGAGAAGATATAAACACGTGTCTTTTTTCTCTCATGCAAATCATGCAACTTACAGGGGAGAATCAAAACTTGGTTATCATGAAGTGATGTTTGCCACCTTTAAGATGAAGCGAAACTCTAGCAAGCCAAGCCCTTTTTTGCTTTTTGTTTTTTAAATTCTTTCTTGTTCTGTTTGGTCTTTATTGTTTGATTATGACCTGAAATCTTCGAGAGAAGATGCTATCCTATGTAAAAAGAATTGTGTAAATATACAGATTGTCGTCGATGAATATATCATGCTTCTTATAATTAAGTTGTTAATGGTGTGTTTATGTATGGGCTAGAAGCCTCTTATATACCTTTCTCTAATACCCTTTGTAATATCCTAACTTTTCAATTTTGTTTTTTATTTTTTTTAGATCATTGACTTTTACATAAAATAAAAGACATTTGGATATTTTGATGTTCCAGAATAGTAAAGATTTGTATTTTTTTTAATTTTTTAAAGAAAAATATCACAAATACACCCTTTTATTTTTGAAAAATTATAAAAAATACAAATCTTCATCATTTTATGATATCAAGATATCCAAATATCTTTTATTTTACGTAGAAGCTAATGATCTAGAAAAAATAAAAAAAATTAAAAAGTTAGGGTATTACAAAGAATATTTGAGAATGGTACATTAAAAACTCCTAGCATATAATTAAAACTTCAAAGTATATATATTAAAGCTAGAACTAACATCACGCACTTTTAATTTGAAACTCTTAGGTTATGTTTTGATGGCCACGATATTTCATTAAAATTTAAATTTAAATATAAAGGTTAAGCATGGCATTCCCTCATGCTTTCTCTCCATAACAAGATATATTCTTTGTGCGATGCACGCGATCTTTTAATATTTAAAAGATAAAAATAAATATAAATATTCAAATTAAAATATATTCCCTTCATTAAAAAATATAAGACATTTTTAACTGAATCTCACCCTTTAATAAAGTAGTTATCTACTTTCAAACTAACTCTATCTTTTTATATTTACCTCTATTAAAAATTCTACAATAAATATAAAGTCATAGGAGCATTTTTGAAAAAAAAAACAATGATTACATCTCGAAAGACTAAAAATATTTTATATTTTTAAATATCTAATTTCTCAGAAAATATTTTATATTTTTGAACAGAGGGAGTATTTAGTATATTCATAATTTATTATTTTATGTAGATTGAAAATTAAATAAAAACTTATTCTATTTTAAAATTTGTTATACACATGCATGTTAAAAATATAAATAATAATTTATTTTATTAGAAAGTGTTGCCCAGTGTAAATTAATATTTTTTTAAAAATTCTATTTTACAATGCATTATCTTTATACATATTAAAAAATATAAATAATTTATCATAAAAATATACAAAAAATTAATATACAAGTCCTTATAGTTTTTTTAATTCCAAATTAGATTTTGATATTTTATTTTATTTGAATTGAACTCTTTATAGTTTTATATATGTTAATAAATGAAGGTTAAAATGATTGATGTATAGCTTTTTGCAAAATAAAAAAAATTTAAGTTTGTAGAATTTTTTATTTAATATAATTTTTAATTTTTATTAAAATTCTATATGCATAAACATTATTTAGAATACATAACCTAATTATATTAATTTTGAATTATAAAAATAATGAAATTAATTATAAAGCTATATAATTATTTAATAAAATATCAAAATTTTTAATTTTATTTTTCAAGGAACAATTCAAATATTTTAATATTCAAGAATTAACAAATCTGAGAAATCAAATTGTAAGAGCGCTCAATTGAAACAAAATAAACTATAAGGATCTACTCTCTTCATTCAAAAATGTAAGATATTTTTAATTAAATCTCACTCTCTAATAAAGTAGTTACCTACTTTTCAACTAATCCGACCTTTCTATATTTATCCTTATTAAACATCCTACAATAAATATAAAGTCACTCATCAATAGGGGTAATATTCAAAAAAGATAATAATTATACCTCAAAAGACTAAAAATGTCTTACATTTTTAAACATCCAATCTTCAAAAAATGCCTTAATTTTTTAACAAAGGGAGTAACTCAAAATTAAAGAAAATTATAAGGACTTACAAGTTAATTTTTCAAGAATATATAATTTTTTTTAATTTCTCACCTCATACAATTGAAATATAATTAACTTATTTTGTTTCAAATATTGTTGGCCCATACATCACCATAAAAAATAAAACATGTAATTATTGTCATAATATTATCAAAAAATTGTAATTATTGTCACTAATGAGAGTTGAGTCTAGTGAAAAGAGTTAGTTCCTCACAAGATAGCAAACCAAAGTTCACATCACTAATAGAGTTGAGTTTAGTAGAAGGAATTAGTCCCATATTTAGTGCCTGACTATATCATGAATAAGATTACGTCTATCAGGAGGATACTTATGAACAATAAAAATAACAATTATTGTAAAAAATAGAAATAGATAAAAAGTTATTTATATAAGAAGTAATGGCTTTAAATTAAGCAAATAGTATAATTGATATTGTGGTATTATTCATCGATCATATGTATGCACAAGACTATAAAAACAATAATTAAGAAAAGTCTAGAAAATGTACAATGGAAAATAAGTTCATCAACATTATATAATTATCTTTGAAGCACATAATTGCAAGACTGTTTTCCATATATTTCCAAACCATAGGCTTTTTGTATATATTAATAATATATATTCAACCTAGTGCACATAAAAGATATGAATAATAACTTGTTTTATTCCCACATAAATTATTTTATGACCTATTACCCATGCAAATAATAAACATAAAAAAAGTTTGTTGTCCCAGGCTTTGTCATGCTTACAAAAATTAAAATTTAAACATGTTTTATTTTATAATTTTTTATTTTAAAATAAAATTATATTTTATTTTTGATGCAATTATCCATTACTCATTAGCTAAGCTAGGTGAAACCACATTTGCTATGACAACTTTTTCATTTTATATTTCTTTATCCTTGTGCATACTGAAAATGTAAATAACATACCAATTCATATTAAAAATATAAACACCAACTCATTTTATTTTTACACAAATTTCTTTAAAATTTGTTATTTTGTGCATAGGAAAAATAGTACAAAGAATAATTAAACATATGAAAAATAGTACAAAGAATAATTAAAGTTTAAACAATAAAACATTTTATTTTATAATTTGTTACTTAGCTTTATATTTTGTATTGCATAAGAGTATATTATCTTTTCCGAGATCATTTTTTTTTATACACAATCAAGTATTAAATGTTGACACCTCTCATTTCAAGAATTTGAATGTTAATTAGTTTATTCATAATTTTTAATTAGTTTATCATATTGTGAATAATTATATATATATATATATATATATATTCCAAGATCCAACCTCCAACAAAAAAAATACAAGAGAGAAAATACATTAACATGCCTTCTATTATTTTATTATAAATACATATACTTTTTCCTCCATTTTTTAAAAATATGCAAACCCCCCTTAAAACTAATTGTCATTGAATTTTATCTCAAATATGAAGAATAATTTATTATTTTTGAAAGCGTTATCCCCACATAATTAAAAATTAAATTGCCAAAAAAAGTTAATTCAGTTAAATACATATTTATTTACACTTTATCTAAATTAAATTTGTAATTTCATTGTATATCCTATATTTAGGTCCTAGAACATGATAATTATGTCGGCAAAACTTAATAGTAAATTTATCTATATAATTATGTTTAATTTTATTGTGTCACGCCTAGAAAAGTTAAGGTGTTACCGTTATGAAATATACATAAAATTTCACATCCCTTAAACCTTCAAATGAAAAAAAAAAATCTAATTTTTAATCACAAACCCATTTCTCCTATAGAACAGAATTCTTTCAATATTATTATTGCTATTATTTTAGTCACAAGTTTCTCATACAAATTTCAACAAACTCTTCACTATAAATCAATGTTTTCAAAACCGGACCGGACATTAAATCAGAAAAGTCAGCGATTCACGGTTCGCATAGTTCAACTTGAACCAATGGTCCAACCGATGACATAATAATTAAATTAAAAAAAATTATATATGTATATAATAATTTAAATATAAGAAATACATATGAAATTACTATTTAATTTAAAAAACTTAAATATTTTAAGTTTGTCATGACTTAACAAGTTATATGATACAATATAATATCAAATGATTAAAAAAATTATTCATTTTTTAAAAAAATTTGATAAAAAATAAAAAAAAATTTTAGAACAGTCCGGTTTTTGAAAACTGAATCTGATTCTCGGTCCAACCGCCAGTTTGAAACGGCTCAACCCGACTCAACTCTTAAAACGGTTTTTTTCTTTGAACCAAACCGAAAACCAGATCGATCAACGGTCCGATCAGCCGGTCCGGTCCGGTTTTCAAAACAGTGCTATAAATAGAACCTCCAAGAAAAGAAAAACATCTATACAACAAGGTCAACTCATTTAATCAAAGAGGAGCCTTGCTCCATATCAACAGTCCTATGACACCACCTGATAAGGTAAGGAATCCTGCATATGGTCTACATGAAGACTCAAGAACTTAATTTACAAAATATAATAAATAAATTTACATTTTGCAACAAATAAGGAATAACCATAATAGCGCTTCAACTTCCAATTTGTGATAAACCCACAATGTTCAACTGAAGGTGCATGGCCAGCAGTATATTATCTGAGATCAAAATAAAATTTTTTCAGTGAATAACATCTCAATAGTAAAGTTAAAAGAATCAAGATGAGTAAATTCAAGTAACTATATGCAATTTAAAAAGAGAGCAATCAATATATTATAATTACTGACTTGGAGATTGAAAGATTCTATATAGCTTCAACGATACTAAACCATTAAAGTTACAATAGCAAAACAGCCTTAATCCTTAATCTAGTTAAATAAAATAGATTAAGAAAATGAATAAAAATAACATTTAATAATCAAAATCAATGAAGTGTACATTCAAAAATCGATTAAAAGCTAATACTTCGAAGACTTTGCAGAATAAGTAATAAATGTGGACACACAGTCCACAAAGATAAATAACCAAATACGACTGATGTCACAAAAACAAACGTGAACATATAGTTCACAAGAATAAATAACCAAATGTGACCTAAGTCATGAAAATAAATAAACACACAGTTCACAAAAATAATACTAACCAAACGCAGCTCAAAGCCATAAAATTTAACGTAGGTACAAAACCCACGAATAATAAATGTGAGTGCGATACTTACGAAAATCAAACTAACTAGTTATAACTATGGCACGCCAAGAACTAACAGAACTGTCGTTATCAACTAGTGTTTTGCATAAAGTCCTCTCAAAACTAATTTTCAAACATGCAAGAAAATAATCATTTATTAAAATATATTTTTCTCTTCTCAATAAAAAACTCACATAAATTATTTAAATCACCAATCCTTCCAAATATAAAAATTCACAATTAATGTTTCATAAACTTGCTTACCAATTTCCATATTTTTTTTACCCAAGAAAGGAGTACTAGAACTTGTAAAAGTATTTTCATCAATATTATAAATATATGTCATAACTTCAAGAGTTAAAGTAATTTAATTGACAAAAGTATTCAATGCTAAAGAAATATATACTAATAACTGCAAAATTGTTGAAAATAACATTTTTGATAAGAGGAAATTCAATAATATATAAATTAATTTGGATGTTATTTACTTAACAGAAGCATTCTCAAATATATATATAACTTACTTCTAGTTAGCCACTTTTAAAATATTGGCCGCTCCTTAATTCCCTAATACCCAATATAACACTATTGTCATTTTTACATACACTTTAGCTAAGTACAAACCCAGACTCTTTAAATTACTTGAGACTAATACTCAACACCCCCCCCAAAAAAAAATAAAAAACAAACAAACAAACAAATTCAATCTTGATATTACAAACCAGGTCACAAGTCTTACAACAAATTATGAAGGGGAAGAAAATCCATTAAATAGTGAACCCTCACCTTATACCACTCTAGCAATCCATCAAAACAATCCAGAACCAAGCTAAATGTATAATATAAAATCATCATTTTCATCTTTCAACAGCACAATCCAATCCCTAACTCAATCAAGAATCTTGCCAGTATTATACTCAACTAAATTTAGTTTTTCCTATACCAATGCTACCGTAAAGTCACAATTTCCAATATGAACTATTTAAAGTGAAACACAAAATGTTGTTTAAGATTTAATCTTCAAATGCAAACTTTGCTCAACTTCAAGTTGGAATGAGTTTAGTGTTTGAAGCTTCTTTTGACAATCCCCTTCTCTTAAGACCGGGCTTTAACCCAATTTCACCCTCTAAATCGTTGCACAGCCAACACCCATATTTTCCATTCCACTTCTAACTTTTTTAGTACAGCAAACATCAGACAAACATCACAGTCAACAAGGACAATATATACCACTTTAAAGTTGCCAAAGTTGTATTTTTGAGGAAACCAAACTAAGCATAGTTTCTTTCTAATATCGACGCATCCAAATTTGGAACCAATCATTGCTCAACACTGGAAAATATCAAGCATTAGAACTCATAAACATGTATTGTAGCAAGAATTACCAGCATCACAAATTCTATCACCCAAATCACAGGCTAAAAATTTAAACAAGAAGGGAAGAAGCTCCCTATACCAGAACAGGGATAAAGAAAGAGAGAGAAGAGTCGAATGTCAAACACGAAAAAGGGGAAGAGACGAAACAAGGTCGACGACGGCAAAGAAGAGAAGAGAAGATTTTTGACACACCCACGACACCGGCAAAGGCAATAAACAGAGGAACAAGAATGAAGGAGACGTTGCAAAGCAGAGAATAGAAAAGCAGAGCAAATAGACGCACACCCCTCCGCTGCTCGGGAAGGATTGAATAAAGCAACTCCACCACTCTCAAGGTCGTCGACGATGATGAACAAGAAAGAAGGCAGACAAGGTGCCGGCGATGAACAAGAAACACACAAGGGTTTCACTCTTTCTCTCTCTGCCGCAACTCACTCACGATCAGGGGAACAAAGGGACATTGATGAAAAATATTAATAAAAGCCGATGGGTTTATATATATATATATATATATATAAAGTAAGGGCACTATGGTAAATTCATAGCTTCACAACAAAAAAATTCTCTCCAGTTGGCAAAGATTCGAACTAAATGCATCCACTGAAAAAACAAATTATTAAATATAATTAAGTAGCTATCGTTGAATTTCAATTTTTATTAACATTTTTTTCTTCACAAATCAATATTATTTATTGCATAATAATTTTTTTTAATTCCCAAGCCATTACATATTGTAAGTGCCACATGATCCTACAAAGTCTAGAAATTTTAAAAAAATTATTTCAAAAAATTATTATTTATCAAACAAACAATTTTTGCACTTATTATCTTATAAAAAATAAAAGCACCAAATGATAAGGTCTTATGTACATTATTTTTATTATGGGTTTTACACATATCACTCATTTTTCAATGTAAACCTCACATTTGTTTTTAATATTAGATTAAAAAAATTTTGTTCATCCCGCGATAGATTTGAAGTAGGACAAAAACATTTTACATTATTATCTCATACATATAATAATATAAACACCAAATAATAAGATCTCACATCTATTATTTTTATTATGGGTCTCACATTTACTACTATTTTTTCCTATAAATGTCACACTTATTTTTACATTGTGGATTCCACATAATCTGTAAAAGTATATAAGATTAAAAAATTGTTGTTCATCTCACTATATATTTATAGTGGGACAAACACATTTTACATTATCTTATACATATAAAAATATAAGCACTTATTATTTTCATTGTGAGTCTCACATCTACTATTACTTTTTTGCTATAAACACCTCGTTCACTTTTATACTACAAGTCCCACATAATATTTAAAATATAAAAAATAAAAAAGGTTAAAATGTATAAAACATTTTAAATTTTGAGACAGTTACATATAATTTCTTTCATCTTTAAAAGTCTAAAATTAACCATTTTAATTTTTAATTTTATTTTTTTAAACCCCCTATTATTAATTATATTATTTTTTATGAGGATTAAAATGTCATTTAACTAAAAAATTATTAAACAAAATATTATATTGTACAACTATTTATAATAATTTTTTTTATATTTTTTGAATAGTTGAGAAATTAATAATAGCCAAAATAAATGTTATTATCATCATACAAAATTTTAAATATTTACTTTTGTGTTATTTTTTTATTTTTTTGTTATCAATGGTGAATATTTTTTTAGTATTAAAAGATAATTTAATCTAAAATAATAATATTTAAAATTTTAAATATTTTAATGATGTGCATTACATTAGTCTAACATGAAAACATAAATATAAATTTATTTTTTAAAACAATAAAATCATACACCATTGATAATAAAAAAATATGGATAAAAATAATATAAACATAACTATTTAAAATTTTATACAGTGACAATAATATTTTTTTATCAAAGCCTCAACTATTCAAAAAATATAAAAAATTTATTATAAAAAGTTATACAATATAATATTTTTATTTAATAATATTTTTTAGTTGAATGACATTTTAACTCTCATAAAAAATAATATAATTAATAATAGGGGGTTTTAAAAAATAAAATTAAATATTAAAAAAATTAATTTTAAATTTTTAAAGATAAAAAAAATTATTTACAGCTGTTTTAAAGATCAGAAAAATTTTATGCATTTTAGCTAATGAAAAAATAAAAATACTGTTCATTCGACTATAAATCTACAGTGAAATGATGCACTTTACTATAGATAACTAGTAAGTTACCCTATGCGATGCACGGGTGTTAAATAAGAAACAAAAAAAAATATTAATATTTTTTAAATTATTTTATAAGTATATGTAATTTTAAAAGTTTTATTTTTCAATTGTTATGTTTATATAAAATGTAAGAAGAGTGAAATGATGGGGAGGGGAGGATTGGCTCATAGAAAAACACTATTGCGACTTGTGAATAATTTCAGATTACCGTGGCACTCACACATGATACAAATGAAAGTGCATAGGTGAAAACACAAAAGGAACATATACCCAATTAATAAAAAATTTTTTTACTCAATAGAAAAGAAAAACAACTGCAAATATCGACAATACAAATGGATGGCATAAAGGGAAATATTTTCCCATCTCATTTACCTGTTTCGCACCCTCAATTTTTACCGTCAAGTTAAGAATAGATATTTAGAATATTTTCACCTTCAATATGTTCTTTCTTTATCCATATTTTGCACAACAAAATTAGCAATAATGACCTCAACAAAGAGTTGAAATAAAAATTTAATTTCATTGTATTGAAATGATGTTATGATCTCCAGATTAGCACTAGTATTCTAACAGCATAAAGAGGAAAAAGAGTTAACCCAACCCCCTATTTATCATTGCTAGCACTTTGTAGTCCAATCCAAGACTTTTTTCGATTTCACACATTGCATAGAAACCACAGAGATACCTCATACTAGATAGTGTTAAAAGAAATGAATAATAGAGGCATAGAGTCTAACTAAATTGGTAAAGCAAATTTGAGTTTAAGATGCATGTTGGGTTTAAGATATTAAGTTTACACATTTAATTTAGACACCAGACACAACTTTAATGCATATAAGTTTTTATTTATATTCATGATGAAGCTTCGGTGTTTACATAGAAAATTCAAAAGGTAGCTATCTCCAAGTAGCCACGGTGTTCAAAAGTGCAACAACTATAAGCATGAGCGAAAAGTTAGCTATCATCAAGTAGTTGGGATATTTGAAAGTTAGGGATGTTTAATCTGGACTCGTCTTAATTGGCCCGATATCATCCCGATCATATCGAAAAGGGTCTTGTCTCGGCTCGAAAATAATCGGGACGAGACTTTACGGGACTGAACAAGAAAAAAATTCGGGATGGGACGGGACACGAGATTACTATCGGGACGTCTCGTCCTGTCCCGAACATTATATATATTATTTTTTATTTTAAATATATTAATTATATTAATATAATTTTTACTTATATTAATTATATCAATTATAATTTTAATACTTGCAATTCTTATTTAAAACTAAAGTTTTTTTATATTGATAATTTTAATGGCATGGAGTAAACATGGTGATATCTTTCTTTATAATATATTAATTATATTAATATAATTTATTCTTACATCTATCTATTTAATAACTTTTATTTATAACATATTTCTTGCTTATTTTTAGAAGAGTAATTAGCTTAGTACATTATCATTAAAGTAGAAGAACAATGATTTGATGTTGTATTTGACTTGTCTGTTGTTGCTAATTTTATAACATAAAGATCACTTGTATTTGTTATTATAATATGTAGTTGTGATTAATATAATTCAATAATTGATTTTAAATTATTGTTATTTATGTGCTTGTGTTGTTTTGATTTTAAACTTAATAAATTATATGATTTAAAATTTTAATGAATGTTATTATTCAGATCTTTTTTCGATATTATTCCATTTATCGGGACGGCGGGACATCCCGATCTTATCCCGATTCTGTCCCAAATCTTAATGGGATGGGATGACTTTTGGGACGGAACACGGGATCAAAATTTAGTCCTGATCTTTTTTTTAGAACAAAATATGGGACGGGGTGTCTCAATCCCATCCCGTCCTATGAACATCCCTATTGAAAGTACAACAAATGTTGAAACTTCATGACTTCAAAAGATAGACACTCAATTGACATTTAGTCTTCTACTTTAGTCTTGATGTTTTGGGTTCCCTCAGCATCCATGAGTGAGAGCATGGCATTGGCTAAGAGAAGTTTTTTGTTGGGTTGAGTGTTGGCTTCCTCCTTTTTAATACCCAAAGGTCGTTTTATGACAAAGGTAGTGCTGGGTGTAGCTTTCACATTTGTCATCTGGGCCTTTATCACAGTAGTGCGTGTGCAAGCTGTCTTTTTCTCAACAATCAATTTTTCCTGTTGAAGATAATTATTATTATTTACATGTTCATGCAACACAAACTAAGGGTACATTATGAGTTTATATAATTTCACAGCTTGCGGTATAAACAATAAGAAAAATGAGTTTTGCAACGCACTTCTTCACAAAAAATAGGAAATGGCGCGAGAGCAGCATATGCTTAAAAAGCCAGGATAAAAAAGCAAACGAAATATTCCCCGTTCAGCTGTGTTTTTTTTTTTTTTTTTTCCCTGGATAAATCCCGTTCAACTTATCTCCACGTTCTCTACAGATTTGCACACAGCAGGTGTTGAGATGCAATGGGCTTTGGTAAGGGTTAAAAAAAAAGGATCCGTTTTCTAGATGGGCTAAAAAAAATCATCCCAAATCCTTCAACCATTGCACCCAAACTCAAGACATCACCCTAATTGTGGACCCACTACAAGAGCCCCCAGCAAAAAAAAAAAAGGGGAAAAAAAGCATCTTATTACTGTAGATTCAACTGTATATCTACAGTATTTAGATGCACTTTACTATATAAGTAGATGATGATGATGATGATCCCTGCTTTCGGCCCGAACATTCATTACACATGTGCATGCAAGTATGTCATTCGATTAACATGCAGGGGTGTCCAGGTAGTGTGAGCAAAAGCCCCTTGAGATTAAAAAATTGCATAGACGTTTTTTGAACCCAATGAAATATGGCCCAAATCAAACTAATAAACTTAACTAATATTTAATGCAAACCCCAAATCCTGCCTTGGTAACAAAGCCCACTAACAGAAATGAAGAAGCGATCCTCACCCAAGCAGAAAGAACCAAATCGGCAAAACCTCAATCCTCTAGAATGATTATTTCAAATAATAAAATCTAACAAAACTTAACTTTTAGAAATCATGCCCTAATTAGTTAGCCCTATACGCAAGAGAAGCAATGGCATACTCGCAGAAGAAGAGAACTGAATAACCGTAGAACTGGAGCTTTAGCAAAAGAAGAACACCAAGCCTAGGTAATTTAGTTTTTCTTGAATCATCTCTTTCATTATGAACACAGAGCAAGAAGTCAA